TCTGCCTTTGCCAGCTCTGACATCTGCCTATTTGATTTCAGTGACTGGGTGATACCCAAGTGTTGTCTATGTGTGAAGTTACAATTCAAGCAGCTTCACATGAACACACAGGTGAGAAAAGATATCTACTTCTACCAGCTTCCACCCAAAGCTGGAAAATATCCACATTGATCAAAGCCTTTATATGAATTGAGCATTAAAGCTTCTACTGCAGTATTGTACTAACACTCAGCTAGAACTGTAGAAGCGTAGAAATGCTGCATTGTACGCCTGTGTGCTGGATTGCTTCAGTCTCCGCTCCTTTTCACAATCTGAACCAACAGGCAGAGCCCGTCACCCTCACATTTGGTCAGACAGCAGAGAGCCTATCAGGCCGATAAACTGCTGCAGCGTGTGCACGTATGTGTGTCCTCTGACTAACCGGCTACAAGGCTGCCATTATGAAATGTGGCATGTGCACTTTCTTATTGACTTGATGATAATAAATCAAGAGGCATCAGGCCGGGATGATTCATTCGCTGTTGTACTGATAATTCTCCCCAAAAATCTTCCTCTCAGAAAGATTTTTTTTTTAAAGCTGCAATCCTCCCAGAGTGGTTTTAAGTGTGTTGTTCATTCTGAGCACAGCGTGTCCAAAGCTCATGAATTCATCTCTGTGCAGCAGAATAAGGCACCGTTTTATTTTGCCGGTGCTTAAAACTGTAATATAGAGAAGCAATGGCCTTTTCTCCAAGTTTGCCACACCGCACGTGGAACCGACTCCATCTGCCTCATGGCGATGAGCTCCACCTTCTGAACTGAGCTGAAGCCTCAATCAAAGCACAGAGGGGTGTTAAACAGTACGGCTCTAATGATGCACTTAATGGGAGGAAATGGTTTCATTCCTTTATGTGCCTTCTGGGTTATCAATGAAACTGGAGAGCCATCATGTAATAACAGCCTGCTATGAATGAGGAGTGTGCCACCTTGTATTGAACATAAAGACTTTAGGTGAAACCAGTGGGCTGCTAAACAAACGGCCAGGACACTGTGCTGTAAAAGCCGTGAGAATCAGATGGTGATTACACTTTGTTGGAGGAGGATACTGAACAGAGGATGTACTGATGATGATAAATGATCTTTGCTCTTGTAATCATGCCCCTTTAATTCCTGAGGATTTGCAGAAAATTATTTGCCAGTGTTTCTCTTTGTTTCTCATTTCCTCTCAACTTGTGCGCGTCTTTCACACAAGAGATTTGACCAATAAATCCTCTAATAATCTAAAATATTTTATTCACAGCTCTTTTTAAAGGTCCATATTTTATACTTTTTCTGTGTTTTATTTGAATTGTTGATTATAAGAAGATATATTTGTGGATTTAAAAACCAAAAACCATCTCAATGTGGTTTTACATCTCCTCTCTCAGGCTTTTCTCTTGAGCTCTATTGACAACAAGTCGGTGAGGCTCAGAGCCTCTCTTCTGATTGGCTGTTTTCTGAGTGATTGAATGAAAATACAGCAGATTTCAGGTAAACACTCAGAGAAACCAAATCCAGGAAAGTTGGATGGTGGGTCTAGGTGGGTGGGGCTTGGGGCATGGCTGAGGGCGCTGACTGCTTTGTTGTGACATCACAAAGTTCCAGAAGTCCTGGCGGCTGGTTTTAAGGTTCAGTCTCTGAATACAGGCTGTGTGCATTTCTCTGTGGACTGAGCGCTTTGATACTTTCGCAGTATTAATATAGAACCTAGACCTGATCTATAATCAAAAATAAAGTAAATCTACCTTTATACAATATGGGACCTTTAGTATATGCTAAACTAAACCTAAGAGCGACCTGCTGTGTTTGAGGTGGACAGTGGGCATAGCATGAGTGTGGGATTTTGACTCTGGAGATTGAAGTTTGAGTTTTGCATCTCACATGTGGTTATGTGTAGGCTTCTACTTTTTGGTTAAAGCTGCACTAATAAATATTTTGATATTAACAATGGATTAAATGACTCTGTATACGTAAACTGGGTCACTTGGTGGGGCAAACCCTCAGAGAATATAACCACTGGACTCTGCAGTTCCCCTCAGTTCAGAGCAAAGTTTTAGTGTCTTTAACTCATTGTTTTGGTTTTCAAGCACACAACTTTACTGCTTTGGTTCAGTCTCACTGCTCTCATCCCAGCAACAGGCAGCAGAACACCTCTAAAGACAGACACAGTTATCAACCAGTGAAAGAGCCTGATATTTCCCTCAGGAGTTAGTGTAAACAGAAAAAGAGCTACAAAGAGAGTACATATTGAACCAGAAACACAGGGACTTAAGACTACTTTAGTTTGAAAATGAAAAGAATCTGTGTGTGTGGAGTTAGAAAGAAGTGAGGTTGCCAGACCTCTGTAGCTGCTCCACATCTCTGCTTGAGGCTAGAGGCTCGAGGTTACATTAGCTAGTAATAGCATCACACATTCTGTCTCAACTGTGTGTTGTCCAGTTGCATTGCAGATAATGCGGGCGCCAGGTTTTGACGAGGCAGAAGAAAGTGCAGGATAAAAAAGAAAATATCTCTGGTTCTGCTGCATCAGTTTTCAAGCTTTTTTAAACTGTCTATCATGAGTTCCACAGTATTTTAGGAGTGTGATGCTAAATCAGTGGAGCACTCTTTAATAGGTGATCGTTTTGCCTAAATTTCAATAATTATTTCAGTCTTATGTGAAAGTTGTTGTTAAGTGACTTGTCATTGTTGCATAGCTTCATGTAAAGCCTCTGTGCTTGTTTGGATTCACTCATGTGATTTTTACCTGAGCCACCACCTTTTTGGGTAATCCTGCTGACAAATACACAAATAAACAGACAAACCAAACCAAACCAAACATGAAAACAAAACCAACCTGGCAGAGGTAACAAAAACTCTAAATTAAGTTTGGAGGACAGAAAATGAAAAGTGTGAATTAATGTTGTTGTCCTGGAATCAATACGTGCCTTTTCTTCCCTTTTATTCCCTCTGACTTATTTGTCATCTCCATAAAGAGTAAATATTTCACTGTCTTTGAGTTTCCCACAGCCTCCTAATTCTCCCTTTCACATCCTGTCATCCCTGTCTCTGCACTTCCTGGTAATTGCCTGAATGTTATTGTTGAAACCAGGAGCTGTGTTTTCAGGTTATGTCTCATATGCCAGATGTGTCTAAAACAGGTTTGATGCAGCATTATACTATTAGTTCTCTGTATATTCAAAGCTACTGATAAGCAGAGAGCAAGTGGGTCTCCTACTGTATGTGGGGCTCTTTTAATCTGAATCTCAGAGGATTGGCTGGTCATGAAATGGCTAGCTTGAGTCCTCACATTCGGTTGCTGAATCGAATGGCACATGCACACCCCTCCCTCTGTCAGCTACTTTCCTTTGAGCAAGGCATTAAATCCAGAACAGCTCCAGGACTGCTGTTCTGTAGCCGACCTCTGACCTCCTTGCCAAGGCGACTACAGTGATATAATTACGTCTGACAGTTTACATTGGCCTTTTACTTGAAGAGGTCACCCTATAACCACAAAGTCACAGATTCAAATCCTACATAATAGCCCATTGCCGTGGATGAGAGCATCAGCCAAGTGCTGAAAGTGAAGATATAATGCAAATGTAAACTGTGCTGTGTCTATGGCTCAGCTCTGACGCACTGAAGAACAGAGAACTCTAAACCTGAGAGCAAAATGCTGACAGCTCAGGTTTTTATACATTCTCTCCCTCCGCTATGTTTTTCACTGGAGTTGCCATTTTGAAATGTTGACTGGTGTAATGGAACGTAATGGGACAAAACTAAATGTTGACTTAGGGTGGGTCGAGCACTGGAGTGTTAAAACTGATTAAGTTGATAGTGCTGTTTTGTGTCGGGGAACGCTCAGTGCAACGCGGCACTCGTTTGGGGTTAATGCTGTCATCCATGCATGAAGGCACAAGTGGGCAGCCACGAGAAGAGCAGGCTCTTTATTCCGTTTGCCAAGTAGAATTTAGGTTTTCCTCTTCAGGCATTTAATGGAGATAACAGCTTGTTATTCAGTGGGCTGCGCTAGCGGGGCAACAGTCATTGTTACATTGCTGCTGATCAGTGCTCATTAAAGCCCTTATATTGATCTCTGTCTGCTGGCTACAAATCTCCTCCTTAAAAAGCCCGCTTGTGTTTCTGCTGGTGTTGACAAGCCTGCAGTCTTGGTACATTTTTAAATAACTTACTTTAAAAAAAAAAAACAATAAAGAATATTATATAGATTAGTGATAGTATATATTGTTTTTAAAGCATTTTGCAGTAAATCTATTTTGTTCTTAAGCAGTGTTTTTTCCCAGGTAGAGAATTTAGAGGTGGCCACTTTGATCAGGTTTCATTTTCCTTTGTCAAAACATAAACATAAAATTTCTGGAGTTTTACATTGTGTTAAATTGTGTATAACAGCCAAATGCAATTCTTAGTGAAATAACTCCGAGATGGTATAAAGTGAAAGGACAGAACCCAGTAGCAGGATGATATGCTAGCTTATTATCTCTGGTTATTAAACGTATAACTCACATGACTAACATGATATATGTCAAGTATAACAACAGAGAGCAGAAAACAAGGAACTGGTTTCTCTGTTACCTAGTGACCTCTGCTTGACTCCGTCAGTGTAGTTGTATAGCCGCAGACGATGTATTGAAACAGGAAGACAGCATGTAGCTATCCTTATAAATGTTCAGAAATGTTCAGGAACTATAACAGATTATTTTTATTTATAAATACATTGTAATATTTGTTTCCGTAAACCTGTAAACACAGACATTTTATTATTGAAATTACCATGTTTAAAAACCAAATCATTCTTTTTTTAAATCACAGTGTTATATAATTATTATATTGTTATAGGCATGCTTGGGGCCATTTGAATTAATTTGCTATGTAAAAAAATGATAATAATGATAACTAACTGAAACACCTGTCTCCTTTTGAACTGTTTAAAACTCTGCTCAACCTCAGTTGAATGTGTTGTTGTTGTTGTTGTTTTGCTTCAGAGGCGTCCCCCAGTCCTGTAAAGAGCTCCCCAGAAACGTCTCCCATGACCTCGCCGCGACAGCGCCGCGACTCTGACCGCTACTGCCAGCTATGTAACGCCTGGTTCAACAACCCCGGCATGGCTCAGCAACATTATGATGGCAAAAAGCACAAGAAGAACGCTGCCAGAGCGGACCTGCTGGAGCAGCTGGGCAAGACCCTGGACATGGGAGAGATGAAAGGTACGAAGTCATGAGTTACTTTTCCCTGTTCTGACTGTTGTAATCAATACATCAACAATCAAAATACATCAATAGATTTACTGACATTCATGCTTTTTTTTTTTTTATAACAAACAGTTCTCATTGTTTATTGATATGAAGCACATCGTAGAACGTGTTTGAAACTCTCCTCTTTTGCATGTAATGTTAGACTGTGTTCTCCAGTGAGGAGACGCCACATCATTGTTAATCCATGTTTGTCCTCGATGTGGATCGCTTTCTTTTAATGCCTTTGCGCCGGCGACAGCCGGAGGGTTGTCCGTCCGTCCCGTCCTCGTGGACATGATATATCAATAACGCCTTGACGGAACTTCTTCAGATTTGGAACAAACATTCACTTGGTGAACTGATTAGATTTTGGGGTTCAAAGGTCACAGAAACACTTTTTAGCCATTATTCAAGAATTCACATAGCAATTTCACAAAAATGGTTAATATTATATTATATGACTCTGGACAAACAGGGGTGTAACCTGTCTGTCTGAAACTAGTCTGAGTGGCGGAGGCAGACAACGGCGAGGTGGTAATTCTAGTTTAAACTTAAACTTTCCTCTGAACGCTGAGTTTCCTTTTTCTCCTTTTTATCTGAGCATTAAAAACTTTTCTTAGATGCTCCCTAGGTTGTACCTCCGTCATACTCCTTGCTGTAGCCTGCTCCATCGCTACAGTTGCTCCCTACTTTAGCTCTGGCAAACCAATCATCGCCACTGGTGTGCCAATGCAGGAATGTCTCCACAGACACTAGATTTAAAACTCCAGTATACTGTCAATTACAGAGAGATTTACTTGGCAGTGATAGGCTTAATGAACATTGTTTGGCAAGGGCTTGAAATTAACAGACGTTCATTATATGGGAAAGTCCCACACTCTAGCTTTAAATGTGGCAAATGGAAAGTGCATGAATGTCAGTAAGTTCCCCTTTGTCTAATGAAAAAAACACAGTTAGATTTTTTTTATTTTTTTAACCAACCTCTGTGGCCGTTGTGTCTTCAATATCCAATATCTCTCTGTTGTGTTCCTGCGTCAGACTCAAACTCGTAGAGTGAGTGAGGGATCGACCATGGTGTTAAGCAATAATGCAGTCCTGTAGACTTCAGGGCTTCTCATCCACATTTTAATACACTTCAACAGACAGGGCAGTGACCCAGCGGTAGGAGAAACAGGATGAACGTCAGGGTTCATGAGGTTCATGAAGCCCTATTGGCTCCAGAGCTGCTGCTCAATGACTGACCCTGACTTCTGACCTGCCCCCCCCCCCACCCCCCACCCCCACCCCACCCCCGGCCCGGCCCAGGGATCAACCACGTTTCTCATTGTAATTTGTTATAAAATACTGTTGAAGTTTCGCTTCAGGCAGTTTCTCTATTAATTGTTTGGATTTTAGAGTCAAGACAAAACATGGAAAAAACAATAGAGCAATAGAAATGAAGAGCGAGTGCAACTCAGGAGTGACCAGCAAATACACTTCAGGTCCCAAATGAAATAATTCAAATTCAAATAAACTTTAAGCTTTATCGACATGAATATCAACGTTATATTCAGCCACCTAATGTTAATGGATCACACAGCTTGGCTTAGTTTTTATTTAATAAAAGAAACCAAAGTCCAGCATGCAGATTTCCGAAGATTTCTTCATTTGACAGTTTTCAGTAACTGCTGCAACTGCAGCACATTTTGATCAATACCAAAAACATCTCTATATATCGGCCCCCAATGGCACCGTAACAAGCTGTAAACACAACAGCTTTGTTACAGCATGAAACCATTGAAATCACTGAAAGCAGTTGCCTGTTGTAGCTGGAAATGTGGGTGGTGAGAGCGGTGAGGCTGAACTATAACAGTGAAGTTGTGGGGCATAAAACCAAAACAATGAACTGAAAGATGCGAACACACTCTGTAGGAGGGGTGTCAGTGATAATTCACTGTGGGTTGCTATTAACAGAGACTCTTTTGACATTATACATAATCATTTGACCTATTGTTGAAATAAAAAGTATGTGTGCGACCTTTTCTATTTTCTTCTCTTGCTCTTGTTCCCTGTCAGAGAACAGGGAGAAATTTATTAAAAGGAGGTTTAAGTATTCCTTAGTTTTGGTGATATCTTTAATGCTCAGTGATCACTTGCCAGACCCTGCAGCCAATACTGTGTATTATTGATCAGTGATAGAGAGCAGCCTCACATGTGGAAAGACTATTTACTCCCCTGTTGAAGTGAAGGGCAGCCCTCTTGACTGCAGCTGTCAGCTCGACTCCAGCCCGAGTCCACCCACGTGTCACAAGTTGTTAATTTTACAGAACGGAGGGAACGTTCTTGCTTATCGTCTCCCAGTCACAATATGTCAATAACAATTACACAATATTATTCCAGCTAGTGGAGGGCCGGCTGCCAGAAGAGCAGAAGGAGCCCAGAGGTGTTGTAAAGGGCACTGGTGTGTGACCGCACCGAATGGGAGAAACAAGTCCTCACAGCTGATTGGTCACAGTCTCCTAACTCCAGGCTGGACTGTTCTTTATGCCTGATAGGTGCGCTGTGGCTGGTTAAGGGCAAATTGTCTGGTTGCAGTCAGTTCAGCTTTGTCATGTTGGCTCTTGAGGTTTTGAGAATACGATGTCTATTTCATGGTCCCGGGTTGTGCATACTGACTACTCTATTTGACTATTTGCTTTAACAATTCAAGTTTTTTCATTGTTGCAGTTTGAAAGAAAACAAATCATGTGGAAGTTAATGTATTTGAAGATTTTAACCCCAGTTCAGTGGAGATACACGTACCTACTGCTCACATATTCATACATATAAACATATGTATACATACAGTATAGGCAAATATACTGTAGATATATTCATACATGCAAATTAATAACAACCACTAGTCCAACATTAGGTACACCACATCTATAAACATTATAACTGGTTGTCATGTCATGTAGAACTGGGATGCACCACCCCTTGTGGCATATCTGATTTTCAAGAAGTCCGACAGTTAGTTTTTTAATCCTTGCACCAAAAGTCAGAGGGTTTTTGTTAGCATTTAAGTAGCAGAAGCCTTCAGCGATAAGGGTATAAAAGGTGGTAATAATATCTGTGTTTCAATTGAGGCAAAGATCCTGCAGGGTTACACCAAGTACTGCTGTAAGTGCACAGCATTCAATCTTTAGGAACTTATGTTAGCTGCTCCTTTTCCACTGGTCGGGCTTTTGTCTGCATTAGAAAAGGGTACAATCTGCATTCAGTACCTGGTCAAATGACTCTGCAGTAGACTCGGGTATTCATGGGCCCCGGCTCTGATCGGCATTGATGTAAACACAAAACCCGGGTGAACCTTCTCTGTGCTGTAATGTCTTTCAGAGCACACACAGTGTAAACAGCCCTGTCACCTACCCAGCATTGTGCTGTTAAACCAGGAACACCGCGGCTGCAAGAGTGAGAGCGAGCTTCTGCAACACTGGCGGCATAAAAAGGGGTCAATTGCCTTTTTTTAGTGGGTGTACCTGTGTTTATAAAACCCGCTTATACCCAATTTCGGTGTAAAAAAGGTATTAGAGAAAGCTCTCATATGCTTACATCCATCACATCTGGAAATCACTATCCTTTTGAAACTCAGCTACTCTTGACTTAGACTAATGAAAATCTGTCATGAAGCTCCTGAAAACTTGGTTGCAAATTTGGAATTTTTGTATTATTGAAATAAAAAAAAAAAGCCTGTATTGTTCATTCAGAGTTTAACATTCAAAAACTCAATTCATTTGCTTCTTCGGGACTGAGTGGCTGTGGTTTCATCACATTTGATTCACAACAAAAGGCAACAATCCCACATCTGTCATCAGATTTTGCTTTAAACATTGAATATTGCTAAATACTGCTCACCTTTTTTGCAACAGAGCTCCACTTGCTTCAAGCCTGTGAGAAGAGCACAGAGAAAATAAGAAACAGTGGAATATCTAATGTGAAATAACCGAAACTGTTTCAGTCTGACAGAGTGTTGTGTTCTTGTCAGACCCCATCACTCACAGTAAGAAGCTGATAGAGAAAACAGGATCTCGGAGCCTGTACACTGCTCGTGTGTGTTAGTTTTCTCCACGTTGTTTTTTTTTTTTTTTTTCCAGTGTATAGGGGTTCAATACTATGTGAATGAATCAGTATGTACTGCTCCTATAATACCCTTTATATAAGCACTGATCTCAATAGAATCATTGGATGTTAGTAAAGGATAGTTAGTGGTGTATGCTGGAAGCACAACTATTAAATCTCGTTGATACAGCGCACTGGGATTATTTTTTTTCCCGCAGACAGGTCATGATTGTGCTCCACAGCCTCCTCTCCACCTCTTCACTCCAACTTACAGCCGTCCCTATCTGCGGCCTCATCTCTTTGCCACAGTGCCTGTTTTTGTGCTGTGTTAGGAGGAGACACGTTCGCCAACATCAACACAGCCATTATGGAGAAGCTGAAAATGTCAGCGTGCTAGCTGCACTATTCAGCACTTGGGCTAATGAGCGTTTCTCTCCGGCGATTATCAATTAGTAATGAAGTGGCAAATCATCCTATCAGGCAAAACCAGCACTGTGAGCCTGTGGAGGGGAGAATGGGAGCGCAGCAGGCGTAGCAGGCAGGACAGAGAGGGGAGGCAGGGGATGCTGCTGCCAGAGAACGCATCCTTCACGGCTTCCACTCAGAGCTCCCCTCTATATTTGCTCCTTTCATCTTTTTTCCGCATCTGCTTTTTTGCCGATTTCGTCTCTTCTCGTTGCCCTTCCTCTGCTCGCCATTCCCTCTCCCTGACCCCAAAGCGCCGTCCTCGCATTCTTCTCAACTCACTGAGAAAATCCGTAGTCTCACTCTAAAGATTGCCATGTGATGAAATATTTAACAGCTCCCATAAAGGCGGCGGCTCCTTCATCCAGGGGTCTGCATATTGTTGTTATGTATACAGAGCTGTGCAGCTATGGAAGGTTGATGGCAAA